GTAAACTGAGTTGAGAGACTTTTACACTTAGAATTTGTATTCACAGAGTAAAATGTTACACTTCCCTTCTCATTCAGAGAGTGAAATGTTACTTGTCACATGTGAAGAAAACAAGTTGAAAGCTAAGGTGTGCAATGTCCTCAAACATTTGTTGAGCTCCTAGGCTATTTTAGAACTGCACAATGCTAGGATACAACTTATTCTAGTTCTGATAAGTTATTGTGTTTAAGGATCAGTATTAGGACTACTCTGACCCATTCTGTTAAATAACAAGGCACAGATATCCACATAGTTTTTTGTCGTGCTGTCTTGTGCTACTGAGTTGTTCTTTACTGGCCAAGTGGAGGTACGGAGTCTTAATGCAGGTTCTGGGGCTTCTTGGTGCTGTGTTTCTCCTATAAGCAAGTGCTGTTACCTCATCTTTTGACTTCAGGAAAAAACGCCCTGGCCCCCCCCCCAGTTCCCTCTTTAGCCACTCACTCATCTCTTCAACAGGATGGAGGAGGAGATAGGATGGAAAACCTTGTGGCTCAGGATGAGAGAGAAGGTTGCTTTTCAGTTACCATCATGGGCAAAACAGACTCAGCTTGGGGAATATTGATTTAGTTTATTGCCAATTAAAGTGGATTGGGATAGAGAGAAACAAAGGGGGGGGGGGGGGGGGCAGCCAAGTTTTCCCCAGGATCACATTCACCCATCTTTCCTGACTTCTCTACCTCCTTCCCTCTGAGCAGTGCTGGAGCAGGACTGTGGGTTGGTGGGTCATGGCCCATCTGCCTGGTGCCAGCTGCTGGGAGTGTGAGTGTCTTACCTGCCTCAAACCTATTGTGCATAGGTACCCACTGGCAGACTTCGAGCTGGACCAGCTATTGAGGCAGGCATCTGTGTGATGGCTGTGAGGGTCTGGGCGGGAGTATTGGATGGACAGAGGGATCCATGAATGATCTGCATGCTTGTGAAGCTGTCCAGCATGTGCATGCACTAGAGACCTTCTGCTTCTAACAGCTGAAGAAGAGAAGTGGAGTTGGCTGTCTGTGCCTGTGTTTTGTGGGAGTCCTGTATGTAGGTGCCATTGGAGGCAACACCTAGTCTGTGGCAGCCTGTATGACCAGCTGTGCTAGTGTTCAGTGTGTGTCTCTGGGGTACATGTCCCTCAGCCTGAGCAGCGAACCTGGGGCTGGGCTCCAAGGTCCAGGCAAGAGGTGGTCCCTGGCCAAGGTGGCTGGGAGAGGCAACAGTTTTTGACATCCCTGGACGATTTACACTCATCAAATTTTAAGTAAAGCTGTGTTGAGTATTTCTGGTCCTGACAATGATATGTGCTTTTGGAATTTATCTGGTGGTACTCAGAAGTTGAATGTGGAAGATCTCTGTCAAATGGTGTAAGTTCAATTCTGTGAGTAGCCTTAAATTCCTAGATAAAATTCTTTTGTTCTTACAAATATGAGTGAAACTTCTGCTTAAGTCAAATAAGCTGTCGCACAGTGATAAAATTCAGTATGTACTGAATTTTAAAATCTACATAAAATAATAGTTTACTGTGTTTTTAAGTGAAAAAACATAGCTGTGTTTAACTTTTGTCCAGGAAAAAATAACACTGACCTCTATTATCAGAGTGTGCAGACGTTCTCTGCTGGACATGTTAAAATGCTTTAATTTCTGTAATATAGCCATTTTTGTAGGATGTTCTTGCCCTCTCGGTTTTCACACCAGTTGAAGTCCATTATAATACACCAGTTACTTGGTGTGTTATAATGGACTTTTCGTGAAGCCATATGAAGATCCATTCTCTTTCTTGACTTCAAAAGCTGTGTATTAGTACTGTGATGTGAAAACTTTTTGCTCTCTGCGGCTCTGTGCTAGCTGACTGCAAATTCCACTGTTACAATGCATCTTGGTTGTTAGATTTATTTAAATCAATAGATTTGACTAATCTTTACTCTCCTTTCTTTCCTGGCAGCCGATTTATTTTGCATATTCCAAGTGAAGAGAGAGACAATGCAATTAGAGTATGTTTTCAAATTGAACTTGCCCATTGGTTTTACTTGGATTTCTACATGCAGAACACACCAGGATTACCTCAGTGTGGGATAAGAGACTTTGCTAAAGCTGATATCCTTTTTATTAGTGTGATTGTTTTCTGTCTTAGTGGGTAAAGTGCAAACTGGATGTTGTTAATGGAATTTCATACCTGCAGCAGGAAAATGTCTGTTCCTGTGTAAATGATTAAAAGTTAGTACAGCGAGGTATGTGATTTTTAAGTGTTTCATTGCTCCATAGTGTTGTGTCCACAAAGGAGATGTTTCTCAGACTAGTAAAGAGCTGTGGAAAGCAGGTAATTTCTGATCTTTCAGGATTTTTTCCTAATGGTTCTACTGTGACAGACCAGGTGGGTTTCAAAGACAAGCTCTTGGAGCACTTTGTGGTGTTTTGTCTCCTTAAATTCATCCCTTTCCAAGTAAATAGCAACATAAACGTTCACATAACTTGGGCTCAGTGGTTCCTGCTGTAACTGTGAGAACAGAGGCTTTATGAAAAACAGTCCACCGAAGGCAGAATCAGCTAAACGCAGCACCTTTGGACCTAGTGAGCCTGGATGACCTTGTACCACTGGGGGAATACAAGCCCTATCCACCAACACCAGCCATACTTGAGTCATTCTTGCCTGGTGACACTGCAAAGGGATCCAGAATTCTTTTATTTGGCAGAACAAGCTGGCTGCAAAGCCTGCAAATATCCAACGCATGTTACATGAATGGCATATGTGCAGTAGTCCCCAAACTCTTTGCACAGGTCTGTATGATCCTGGCCAAGTATGGGGGTACCTATCTGGAGCTGTATCCCCTTCTGCCAAACAAACAGTGAGCTATGTATGAGCAGTTGTCCGATTTTATTAAAATACTGGTGCCTAACATACAGCTGCAAGCCTTTCACTGTGACTACAAAATGGCTGCCATGAATGCCATAAAGGAATGCTTCTCAGAAGCAGCTCTAAAAGGCTGCCTCTCCCACCTGGCTCAGAAAATGAGGAAGCATTTGGCATTGGTAGGTGCCATTCAGTTAAGCACAAACATGGAGTTGGCCCTTAAGGCAAATATGGTTGTGACCTTAGCATTCACACCTGTCTGGGGCTTGGGGGAATACGTTGCTGCTCTGGATACCTATCTGCCTGAGGAGCTTCAACCATTTCTAAACTGGTTCGAGAACAGCTACATTGGCTGTCCAGGTAGAAGAGGACTTGGTAGATGAGCTCTTCAATTTTCATCTGTGTGGAATCTATTTGAGAGAGCACTGAGTGCTGAGGAGCACACTGAGAACCATTCTGAAGCTGCTCATAGTTACCTCTGAGTCGAGCTGGGAATGTGCCACCTGACCATCTAAAAGCTCACTGATGGCCCCTGAAGGGTGTGGAAGGTCAGAGGTGCCTGTTACGAACAGCTCACCTCAGGCTACAGTCCTCCACTCAAGAAATACCACAAAGCAGATGTATGTAGTCCAAAGACAGTGTCCTGCTACAGCAGCAGAAGCTCCTTGGAATAGTTGTGCCATAGCTCACAGTTATTAATTAGTGTAATGAAATGTCTTTTGATATATTACTATTGCATTTTTCACACTTTTTCAAACTTGACTGCATATACACAAGCAGAAACAGATCGAGGACAGTTCAGCTTTGTCCACTGTGTTGGCCATGGTGAGCTGCCCTAGACACCCCCTTCCATCCAAAAAAGCAGGGAAGAAAACCCAGTCTATGGCAAACAAAACAGCAGGCTCCTCTCCCAGGCAGCACTCGGGAGCCAGCTGGTCCCCAGCACTTGCAGCAGCTCTGCTTTCCCCACAGTTCTAGGGTGGGCACCCCCTCCACCTCCCAGGAGAGACCAGGTACTGCCAGGTGCTTGGGGCTCCCTGTGGTACCACAGAGCCCTTCCCCTATACTCAAGGGCTTTGTGGGGCTTGCTGTGCAGCAGGGAGAGCTGATGGGATTTGCTGACCTATGGAAGGTTGTCCTTGTGGGGAGCTGGTTGTGGAAGGTTGTTGTAGACCTGAAACTGTATTTTTGTGTCTTGCTCACTTCCAAATTAAAAAAAAGGGGACGGGAATAATACCTGTTCAAAGTATCTGTTGTGTGGATACTTTTTCTTCAAAGTTAGGGGAGACCTTCCTTCAAACAAGCAGCCTTGCACCTTCTTTTATTCTTGCCTTTTTTTAATTAGCTTGTATTAGAATTACCAAATTACTTGATGCTTTCTGACCTTTAGAGCTTGGTAATGGATTATTCATAAGATTTTTTACTTCCAAGAGTATGTCTTTAAAGTACTTAGGGCAGGGAGTGTGGTTACTGTAAATGTTGAGTGAGTATGTTTTATGTGTCTACCTATGATTTGAAACTGGATGCTTAAGTATCTTCCTTAACATGCTGCTATACTCTTCAATCATTGCCCTTTTTTACTGCCTCAAGGTGAAGATGTCCAAAAGGTTTTAGATGAGTGGAAAGAATACAAAATGGGAGTGCCCACCTATGGTGCAATTATCCTTGATGAGACACTTGAAAATGTAAGTATGGAAATAGTGGTAGAGGGCTAGAGGGAAGAATGGCCTGTACTGGCAGAAGTAATCTTTTTGTTGTTTACATGTTTTTATCTGGAGGAGAAAAAGTGCTTCAGGTGCAAAAGACCTGACAGTTACTTGACACTGAGTGTGTACAGAAACATAATGCATGAGACAGTAAACACCCTTCCGCTTGCTTTCCTACTCAGTAGTTTTTTTTTTTTAAATTTTTTTTTTTTTAATTTTATTCTCAGTTGTATGATTCAGAAAAATTTTGCAGTTCTTGCTAGAATACAGAAAACTTAATGGGTTCTTTCCTCCAGGCTAAAGTATCTTTTGGAAAAGCAGTAGATAGTGAAGGGAAGACATTTAATAGAAACTGGTTAGCATGGTGAATATTTGACAGTTGCATTCCCTTGTATTTTGCAGGTTCTTTTGGTTCAGGGCTATTTAGCAAAGTCTGGTTGGGGATTTCCAAAAGGGAAAGTAAATAAAGAAGAAGCACCTCATGACTGTGCTGCTAGGGAGGTAAGATATTTAATGCCCTTCAATTTAAGGTAAAGAAATGAAATTTTGATAAGAGTAGGATATATGTGAGATGAAAAGACACTTTCCTTAGCTATTTCTTTACTGAACTAGGTAAAGAAATAGTCTGTTCTTGCAGGAGTCTTTTGCTGTAGCTTTTAGTACTTTTAAGTTAGAGCGATAATCAAGAGTGTGGTTATGATTTAAAAGTCACTATCTGATGGTTTCAGTTGTTTTGTACTAACTTGCTAAGTGAGTACTATTCTTAATGTTTGCTGCGGAATTATCAATTTTAAGTATTTTTGGTGCTTGGAAAATCTTATGTACTTTGTGGCTTTTGGAATATCAGTTTTAAAGGTCACTGTAACTGTAAAAAGTTAGAAGAATGGGACCTTAGCTTATGTATGTGGGGCTATGTAAACAGCCTAAAGAGTTGAGTTGGTGGTTGTAGAAGATAATGTCAAAATTGTGAAGAGCTTTTTTTTTTTTTCTATTTTTCAGTGTTGCAGGAACAAGGATCAATGTATATGGCAAATAAAATCTGAAAAATAGAATAATTTGAGTTATTGCTGCTGGAGACCTAGATATATAGTGAATCTGCGTATTAAAGATAGCCTGTAAAAGACTTCTTGATATGTTACATGCACTTTGAGTTTATAATACATCCAGATTTTTTGAGAGGGAAAATTAAGATGAGGGGAAGTAGTAAGATGCATTAGTTTTCTTCACAGTTGGACTGAATCAATATCTGAGAAGTGACAGATTTTAAAATACACCTACCAAAGATGCATGAATGAACCCAAGTTGGCTGGACCTGATCCCACTGTTGTCTTGCACTTGCTGCATGATCACCCCCAAGATGAACCGTTCCATAATCTTCCCCAGTACCAAGGTCAGGCTGACAGGCCTGTAGTTCCCTGGATCCTCCTTCTGGCCTTATTGTAGATGGGTGTCACATTGACAACAACATGAAATATGCTTTCATGTTAGCAGTCGCTGATCTCTGAGTGTGGAACGTGGCTTATATAGTATCAAAGGGCTTCCTTAAGACTGAAACTCCTGAGCTCTCGAGGGCTGGGGAAGGATGACTGGAGACTTAATAAGATTAACTTGATTATCACAATGTGTATCTCTTTCCCCTACCCCATTAAATAGCTTGCTCAGCTAAACTTTTACTTGGTGCTTTTAGGGTTGGTCTAAAGGACTGAACTGAAGGGGGGCAGACCATAAGAGTGTATGGGCCATAACACAATGGACAGAACAAATTAGGCATAACTGTTTCAGGAAGGAATGATGTGAAGTTATACCTTCCTCTTTACTTCGTTATCCTAGCAAAAGCATTGAAGTGGCCACAGTTGTACTGGGAAAAAATCTTTTTGTGGTGTTTTTCATTTGGAGTATTTATGTAGATTACATGAGTGAACAGCACTGTTGCTATGATCTTTTTCCATCAAGGGAGATTGTCATTGTGTATAAACTGGCAAATTCTTCAAAGCTTACATGTGGCTAGAGCTGAGATGTCTGTAATGTCTGTGCATAAATCTTTTAACTGCTTTTACTGGAGTTATCACAGGTCTAAAACTGTAAACTGCATATGTATAAGGTCTAATTGAAGAGGTCTTCACTGGGCAGTGCCTACACAGTTCAGCAGCATTTCAAAAGTTTGTAAAGGCAAAACCATAATAAATGGGTGATTCCTCTGGTACAAGGAGCTTCTATACAATTCACTTAATCCAGAAAGATCATTTAGGGTGGGTAAACATTACTGTTTAGTAGTAAAAGTAAGTGCAGAGAAAAAACATTTGTTCTTTTAGTTGAGACAGTCTGTGGTGCGATTTTTTGAGGGAAGTTTCTTGTTTGCCTTTTTCATCCTAAACTCTGATGTTCTTCCTGTAGTTAGAAGGGCAGATATCTTCCTTTTTCTTTTTTTTCTAGTTGTATGTGCTACTTTAGAGACTAACTAGTCAGTTATTTGCTTTGTATTAAACTTTTTTTATATTTGTGCTTAATCTCCTCTGCCTTTTCAAAACATAAAACCATTTTGATAATACAAATAATATGTATTGTTATTTTGCATACACATTTTGAGTGTTTCCTCCTTTTATTGTTTTATATGCAGTTATTTGGTTCTGTTTTTCACTACATTAAGGTGTCCTCACAGGACACCTTATTCCTCTTTTTAATTCTAAATCTGCTCTTAGAAGAATTTAACTGAGGACTCCTTCTGTTGGATTATTTGCAGTAGGTTTTAATAATATTAACCCAGGGGTTAACGGGTGATGGTTCACAAGCATGTTCAACTGTCTGGGCAGAAATATTTTGGACTGTGGTATCAGTCCTGCATGTTTTCTCAGTACTTGTAGTTCCTATGGATTTTTTTTTTTTCCATAGAGAACTATGAAGTTTCTAAAAAATTAGTGTTTACTTGGCAGCCTCAGAGGCATGATCTGAATTAAGCTATTTGGTGTATTTGATATGAATCATTTTATATTATAAGCTTTGTATATTTCAGAATGTTGTCAAAAGTAAGTATTTTGGAGTAAGGCTTTGAGCAACCTGATCTAGTTGACGATGTCTGTGAATCTGTGATCCTTCACTGCAAGACCATAAAATATGCAAACAAAATGTTCTTTTTAAATACCATTAAATAATCTCCATGAGGTAAAGTGCTACTATTTTTTTTTTTTTCTTTCGAGTAGCTGACCAGGCAATTTTAAGTTGTCAGTGTGAATTGGAGTTTGAATTTTTGTAGTAAAAGTTTTGTTACCTTGTTGCTGGGTTTTGTTATGAACATAAAAATATCATCTCTGTTGGGTTAGAAGATTCATGAAGAAGGATTGTTGAAATAGAACAAAAATAGAGATAAAGTAGACTTTTCTAGAATTCAAGGATTATTTTAGCTCCCCAAATATTAGGTTTTGCTGTGAATAAGTTTTCTATCCATCCAGCATCATGGAGGAGCAGTTAGAGGCTCACCATTCATATTAACAAATTGCTACCTGAAGGTGTAATAGCGTTGTTTTAACTTTTGTTACAGGTCTGTTTGTCGTAAAGAAATGTGAAGCACAGAGAATCTTGTATGCTAAATAATGGGAAAAGTAGCTATTGAGGTGTGAGTGCTTGTTTTTCCCAGCAGTGGCCTGCTTTCATGATTAGATCTAAAAAATAGTCATTCCTTCCATTGTGATGATAGTGTTCTGAGAGGATAAATTTGAATACACCGCCTGATTTGATTTATATGCTTCTCAGGTGTTTGAAGAAACTGGGTTTGACATAAAAGATTATATCTGCAAAGAAGAATACATTGAGCTGCGAATTAATGATCAGTTAGCACGGCTGTATATCATTCCAGGAGTTCCCAAGAACACAAAATTCAACCCCAAAACTAGAAGGGAAATTCGGGTATGTGTTATTCTTTCTTGAATCTATAGGAACTTTGTTGTGGAACTTGATTTTTAAAGCTAATGGGCTGTAAAATAATGAAACTGCCAAGCATAATGAATACTCCAAATACTAGGTACAAATGGCATCTATGCACTGTAGGGTCTGGTCTTGCTTCTTGCAACTTTACTGCAAAGACTGATTCTTGACCATCTATCTGATGTCTCCATTTGTCATGAAAACAACATCAGAGCATACTGTCAAGCTGTAATTCTCACCTTGTTTTCTCTTAGGTGGTATACATGTTAATCATTTAATGATATTTGTAGTATCCTAGTTTGAGCTAGAACAGAACCAGTTCTCTGTTCAGTGATTTTACTTTTCAGCTAAGCTACCTCTAAGTAGAGAAGAATGCAGAGTAACTGCCCTTTCTGAAGTCAACAGCATATTTGTGTACTAGTAGTGACGATGTTTGTAGTTGCTACCAAGGATTGGTGTGCAGAGAGGGTCTTGCTTGGACTTGCTCTTCTATAGACCAAAGTTACTGCTAAATCTTGTGTACCACATTGGGGTGCTGTAAGTAAAATGGTCATAACTAAGTAAAAAAAAAAAAAGTCACCTGCAGGGAGCAGCCAACAGGACAGGTGACCCTAACCTGACCAACAATGTACTTTCTGTGTATGACCTCTGTGTACATCATATTCAGTATAAAGCTGAGGGATCTCAAGGGTCCAGTTCTCTTCTGTGGCCAGTGTCTGAGGAGGGCTCTGTCCATCCTTCTTCCTTGGTGAGTTACTGAATCCAGTGCCAGTCTGCTGCTGAGGCCAGCCTGGAATCTGAGGTTGATACTGTTTGGTTTTTTCCCCCCCTTGTTAATATTACTTAGCTTTTCTTCTTATTGTTACTGTTTCATTAAAGCTGTTGGGTTTTTTTTCCAACTTGTAAGTCTCTCTCCCTGATTGTCTCTCTCTTT